GCGCAGACTGCGCCTCAGTGTTCGAGAAGCCTCACAATTGTTGTAGATCGTTGTTAAGATTGCGCGCAAAACGCGAACAGTGAAGCTTATTTCAGAGCTTGCGCGGACACCAGTGATAAGGCTGGAAAGTTTGATGCGTGATGTATAAAAGACGGCGCGTCCCAACGATGAGCAGCTTTTCCACGGCCGATGCTGTGCTCGCCGCTGCAAGAGCAAGCAGCCACGGAGGAAGGAAAAAGGTAAGGAGAGGGCATGCCCAGCCGGCTCAGGGCGTAAAAAGTGTGGCGGAAATGACATCATGGCGGCCATATTCACTAGGCACAATGGCGGCGTTGTTATGGTTACGTGTTGCGCAGTGGAGCTGGTCTAGCAGTGAGCGGCCGCGGCTGGCGGCGGAATGTGTGCCTCCCCAGGTCTCGTGCTGAGCCGCGGCGGACAATATCTGTGCTCTGCGCCGCGTGATTGGTTACGCAGTGTTCTCCTGGCTGTTACATTACTCTTAGCAACGTTTACAAATCCCTTTGTCCATCACGGGGTTTCAACAGTGCGTAGAACAAGTGCATATCCATGTGTCGTGCGGCGGATGACGCGGATCAAGCAGTTAGCGTTCAGCGAAATTGCGTTGGGCACCATGGCGAAGCTGAATGACGACGAACGCCTTGCAGGTCAGTGATGGTTGAGCAGTGCTCCTGCTTGTGACAACGGACGGCACTGCTGAGCCCAGCAAGACGCCGTGAGGACCATGTGCACATACGTAGTTTCGTGTTGTGTGTGTACAGTAACAACTTGCATGTGCGTATTAAAACATCTTTTCTGTTCCGCTTGGTACACTCTCCACCAGCATTGCATGTAATCTCAACGTAACAGCAACCACGTTCAACTGTCACTAGCACCGTGCTCAGTCACCACGGTCGCAGAATGCTGACGCCGGTGATTTTCACGCAGAACACGGAGAGAGTGGCAGGACGCTGCGTCGGCCGCGTGGCGGAATGCAACCATAGACGGCGCACGACCGATCGTGTTGTCTGTACAGTTGCTGAATTAATGACGTGAAAGCACTCGCCGTTGTCAGTGCATCTAGCGCGCGTTCTCTCGTAGTTGCTTCGTTGTCGGCGAGCTGTTACTCCCTGTTATTACTCGGATGAAGCGATTTCGCTAAAGGTGTCCCGCTGGCTCAGAGTGATGAGCCCAGTTCCATTAGTTTCGGATCGTCACGACACACGCGCTGCGCAGCTCACGTGCTTTCCGAGCCGGAGAGGGATTCGCGCCTTCTGCTTCGCATTCATATGTAAACAAGAGAGGAGAATTTGCCTACTCAATATGGCCGACTTCCGGCTTCATCGCGGCTTCACAACGAGTGACGTCAGGGCCTCTCGTTACCTTTCCTTCCTCCGTGGCAAGCAGCAGACGTAGCGGGCGTGCGGAAAACGTGGTGCCGTCCAAGAAATAAAAAAGAAAAAACACTAGGGCGCACGATAACTTCTTTTTCATGAACAGCGTCCCATACTTGTTCTATCCTTATAATGAAGAAAGTTTTATTTATTCGGGCCAAGTAGCTATTAGAATCAGAAAATAAAGTAGGTTACTATTTCCTGGCACACGCGCATGCAGGCGGTTCGTTCGGCTCTATAGCTTCTACAGTGCTGTCAAGAAAAGCTGTCGCCGAGTATAGTAAGGTCAATCGCGAGCTTGGCGAAGTATCTGTGCCCATCGTGCACGGCGGTAAGGTATAGTCTCATCGCTTGTTTAAGAACTGCCTTTAGCGATGTTAAGTCCCTTGCTGCGAATACTTTTCTTTTTGTTCGGTTATTCGTATTACTTTTCAAACATTGTTCGTTTATTTTAACTCTGTTTTGAGTCCTTCTAACCATGTTTCAGCCCGGTATACTACACTTCATTTTGGTCGTGATCACGCCAGATTAGACCTACGTTTGAACAAGTTAGGCCCTTTATTGGTATGTTTGTGATCTGACGTTCTCCTAACCTAAATTTTCTGATCTGACGTTCTCCTAACCTATTGAAAACAATATGATTGGATTTTTCCCAGCTTCCTTGTTTTTTAGTTTATAATTACTGAGCCTTAAAACAAAACGCAAAGTTACGGCGACTTCACCTAATGTGTAGTCAGTAATAATCATTTCGTCGCGTTCACATACAGTGCTTCTTCATAGTTTTAATCTCTGGCAGGAATTAGCGCAACCGCGCTCTATAGAATCAAACCATTCGGAGTCTTACACCATCGCGTGTCCCGCAACCAGGGCGCTGGTATCCCATTTAAAGCTGCCCTGCAACACTTTTTGAGCATGGTCAGAAAACGCTGCCGATCGGTGGTAGAGGCTTCCAAAAATACTCGAGCCAAATACTATATGCAGCACGTGGCCTGGAATTCACAATAAATTATCAAAATCAGCTAAAATAGCTGCCTCTTCTCTTGACAAATCTTGGAATAAGTTCAAAAATCACTTGTAATTAGCACATTAAGTAGCCATTGGCTTAATTGAACATCTATTTTTAATCAAGTTTACGAGCTCATCATTCTGCCGGACCATGCTAAGTTTATGTAAGGTCAGTTTTCAAAGGAGTTTCAATCACCGGCCTAGCGTGGTGGTAGAATGGTAGATTTTGGGGCTGCCGCACAGGGCACCCGGGTATGATTCTCTTCGGACTTTTTTTTAGGTAGTAATAAATTCGTAGCATTTTAGTGAAGTTCGAAGATTTTGAGCGTACCTATCTATCCATCTATCTATCTATTTATCTATCTATCTATCTAGCCGCTTATGTTTGGGCGCTCTCGTGGTCACCCCCTTGACTTGGGCTGGATCAAAATTAACATGGGAGGGTAAGATTGTTTGACGAGTATGACGCGCTGGTCAAGACATTAATACTCTCGCCATCCCGTCCCGTACGTCATCGAAAAGTTCACGCCAGAGAGTGGCACATACACACAGGTGGGTATATGCCGATGGTATGCGGGTATGTGCCACAGGTGATTGGCATTAGTATCTACGCAGGAACAAAAAATACACATGGGCGACTTCATCCCATGAACTTTAGGAAATACTCGACATCGGTAGCGTCGTCCCGACGAATGCAAACAATAAAAGTCAGTGTCACAGCTGGAATCGAACTTACGCAATCTGCGTGGCAATGAAGCATTTTACCACATGAAGAGCTACGCCAGGTCTCGGAACTACTTTTCAAATGGACGGTAATCTTCGTGAAACGCCAACAGTGGTTGCAGGGCTGCCTACCCAATTTTATGAACATTACCTATGTATTCGTTTAATACAGCCGTCACGTCTGGTTAACGTCTATCGTGGTTAGTGGTCATGCCCTGAAGTTAAAATATGTACCAGTGTCCAGGGCCAGAATCCTCGCGAACATCAGCGCTTCATATCAGCTTCTGGTGTTGCTAATACATATGTTCTAGTTGTCATCGTTGCGCAAATGCAAAGAACTAAGTACAAAAGCAAACGCAACTCTTCAACATCTGTGAGGTTGCGCCAGCTCCAAACCGAGACTGTGCTGACCCCATCGCTAGCGCGACACGTGTGCCCCGAACTCTACGTGAGTGAAGTGTGCAGTGTGTGCGCGAGCGCGAGAGCCACCCTGGCTCACATACTCTGGGGATGTGACGCAGACAGCGCGGACGGTCCGGTGTTACCGCCGCAAGTAGAACAGCGTGTGGGGTCTACGGACCCAGAAGACCAGCGAAGGGCCGTCCGGCAGCTCGAGGTCGCACTGGCGCTGCAAAGGCGAAAGGGGGACACCCTCAGTAACCCGAGCGGCGCCGGGGCACGAAGGCCTTGAGGTCTAGGCCCGCGTGACATTAGGACTTCTAGTGTAACGTGAGATAGGGTGAACCCCACGCCCTGCGCGGCCGGAGGGAATCCCGCATGCTGGAACCCAATAAAGTTTATTCGCTCTCTCTCTCAACATCTGTTTGTGCGTGCAACATTTGTACATATAATTGGTGCCATGTATTGATTTGTCACTGAATAAAAAAATTTCAACACGGTAACCTTCACTGCGAATGCTGCGCAAAACGTCGATTTACAAAAAAAACGTGAGATCTACCGATTTTTTTTTTTCTTTACTTCATGCGATAGTTGCTACAGGCATCGGCGATGGTTCTGACACAGAACTTCGGTGCCAGAATTGATGCTTGTGTTGGTCTCATGAGACATTTAGCTGTGTGCATAACCTAGAGGCTCCAACATTCGCTTCTGTGTATGGGTATTAGGTTTCCAAGCCTGTCTGGGCTGCAAATATTCCTTTTTTGTTATATCTTTTAAGTCTTTTTTTTTCTTTTGTATCCTCTGAAAATCAACGACAGTAATTTCCTGTTATCGTGTACCCTTTTGAACATAGAAGTGAGAGGTCATCCTGGTAAGAATTTCCTTTTAACATTCAGCATGTCCAGAGGTGCAACAAGTCTGCAATTAATTGTCACAGTTTCATGGGACGATACACAAAGTATGCCCCATCACGGCGGTCTAGTGGCTAAGGTACCCGGCTGCAGACCCGCAGGTCGTGGGTTGCAATCTTGGCTGTGGCAGCTGCATTTTCGGTGGAGGCGGAAATGTTGCAGGCCCGCGTACTCAGACTTGGGTGCATGTCAAAGAACCCCAGGTGGTCGACATTTCCGGAGCCCTCCACTACGGCGTCTCTCATAATCATATGGTGGTTTGGAGACGTTAAACCCCACTAATCAATCAATACACAAAGTATCCATCGGTATTACCTTCCTTCCGTGTAGCCACGTGACACTAGTGTATTTTAAGAATGGCTAACTTATCGGCTGTGCATCGCATGCTCGCTCTGAAATGTTCAAGAGAATCATTTACCAGCTAGAGCTTACAAAGCTCTCACATGAGTGAAATATTGCGCAGACCTTCCATACATTGTTTTCAGCGCTTTATTGGGCGTAACGCAGCTTTCTCTGCGTAACCACGACGAATGGTTGTCTTCCGGATGCACTGCACTTCACTTCTTTCCCAGGCCACCGATTTGCGAGGATGCTCCTCCTGCACCCGCGGCGGCTTCGTGCGGGGCCATGATGATAACAGCTGCGAAAAAGGTAGAAAGGTGTTCGCTCGCAAATGCAATGCTTCATTATGTGAAATATTGGCAGATAACTCTACGTATACTAATCTTGCGACAAACGAGACTGAGAACAAATGACATGCACACGTGCCCGTGTCTATATTGTGGCCAGGACTCTCTACTCTAGCGGCAAGAAGAGATGGTGCTTAAGTTCTGGTCGCCGCAGTGCAATGTTCTGCTTGGCGTTGAACGTCTCAGTTGCCAGGTTTTGGGGTGGTTGTTGTCAGACTGCCACCAGATTTGGCGGAGAATTTCGCTGTGTAGTTCTTACTTTCCGTGAAGGCTTTGTGTCGTCTGCGGTGCATTTCGCGGGTGCCTGTGCGACGTTGACCGTGTGTCACGTTGGACGTCGCCGCGTCATCCAAGCGCGACGACCGGGACGCTACGCTTGTCCTAGCTTTGTCAGCAAAAAACATATCATACGGACTTTTGTATAAAAGAACAAAAAACGTGCCAAGGCTGGCTAATTGGGGTACGTCCAATATGCTGCAGCTGTATATGCTTGGAAGGCTGCTTTATCGCCACAGCTAGAGATACTTAGGCGACATTTGCGCGTACCTGTAAATAGGTCCCCGCCCGACAAACCATCGTCGCCTGCAGTGCCCCACCCGCAATAAACACGAACGACCAAAATTCCATTTAATCAATATCGAGACATATTTGGTCATCGCACGTCCCGAGATGAAAGACCCTGTCCTTCTGCTCATGGATCTAATCGTTCGCTATATCCCGTTTAGGGGCGGTCTATCGTATGTCAGTGGTTGCGTTATCAGCGTGCCATGAAAAAATATTCTGCCGGTATATTCCAATTTAACCTATTTGCTTAATTACCCCCCCCCCCCGAATAATATCACTTGCACTGACACAGCAAGGGGAAGCGTAGCGTCCCCGTCGTCGCACGTGGTCGACGCGGCACGGTCAGCTGTGCAGGGAGCCTACCTCTGAGATACAATCATCAGACAAGAACAAAAAAGGAACGCATCCTTGATTACCTAACTCTGAGACACAATTCCTAACTGCAGAGCTTCGCACACAGCAACAAACGCGCACCTAATTCTTCAGCGCGCGCTTTACGTTCATTCCGTTAATTGAAACGGTCATCGTCGCACACGCACTCGTGAATGCACCGTAGAGCACACAAAGCCCTCACGGAGAAGTCACAAATACATGGCGAATTTCTCCGCCAAATCTGGGGGCAGTCTGGCCACACCAACCCTTACAGTCTGGTAACGGTTCATTCAACGCCAAACAGAACCTTGCCGTGGCACTTAACTACTCGTTCCGCGGCTCCAACCCCCGGATTGTGGCTGTGGCTCCACTGACCTAATCCTTGGGTTGCTCTTCAAGTAGAAGAAACTGTTGTGTAACACATCACTTAGAACTAACTGGTTGGCGCTATTTCTCTGACTGGCTGTTCTGCGCGTTTGTTAAAAGGAGGAAAAAAGGCGTCTAATTTCTCTCTGCCTCATGGACAACACAGTGCAGTGGCTTGCAGGGAATGGGAGAAAATGGATGAAAAAAATAGTGGAAAAAAATAGATAAACCATGGGACTGGCTGTCGACAGAAGAAGAAGAATATATAAAAGTTAGGAGCTAGTCGCAGACGTCCGAGGACGGGCAATGCATGGCAATAACGGCATGGCGTCAGGAAGTCGTGGAGGCGAACCAGTCGGCCAGAGGTACGCTGGCGTCGGATATTGCGTGCCGATGGCGAGCAACACTGGAGAACGATGGCGAGCAACACTGGATCGAAGTGTTTGTTGCCGCCGAAGATGTACCTCCGCTCAAGCAGTGTCATGGTGTCGCGGTGGCTGCTCTCTTCCTCGGCTTTCTTTCTCGTTAGTTCGAGGTGACTCACTTTGCTTTCCGCCTCTGACAATACTTGCAACCTCCCGAGTTACATCACCACCGTGCTCCGTGTTTGGTTGCCTTTTATCCTCTTCTGCTAAGCAGGGGATCACTCAGTTTTGGTTTCGGCGACGAATTAAAAACCATGAAAGGGTGACTAACGTCTACACTGTGCAGCATCTTAAGGCAACTTGATCATATTCACCCGCTTAAAAAAGTCGTATTGTGTGTTTGGAACTAAGATTTAGTGTTTGTAGTGCTTGACCACATAACCACCATATATGTTTGGGTGCCTATGGGAACTCACATAGGTGCAGCCATCCGCCGCTAGACTCATATGTATGACTCGACGCTTAGCATTGTTGTATTTTACTGCTGTCACCACTGACATCACCTTCCCAACGCTTGACTTTTATGCTTGTTCAGTTAAAACATTGTACAAGCGATTTCACTTGCTACCGTTGGTCCGATATTGGTAACAAAGGCTATTCGTTTAATGAACCTAGTTCACGGCAAGTTTACATCGTATTACCGATGGCGATGGCTACTGCCACAAGGAGGTCCATCCCAAGAAAGTGGTTCATCTTGATGGCTGTAAGAAGGACAGTTGCATTACACTTAAAAACAGAAATAAATTTTTTAACTTACTTGTTCGATACATTGTACAAAAAAATTTTGCTTTCTTATTCTGCGCAAAGTAGCAGGCCCATGCGCCCAAGCTCAGGCCAACATATCTGCCTAACGGTAATGAATTCTTCCTGTCTGTCTTCTTTATTCAAAGACACGATATTCACAAATTGCGCAAAAATTTCTGCCAATCTCTTCATTTCAACAAATATTACTGTACATAAAAATGTTTGCTACTACAGTGTCCTACAATAAAGGCTTATACGTTTTACATCACTAAAGACACCGTAGTTAAAGTGGCCTTGCCGGTGTTCTCTTTTTATATAGTATATATATATATATATATATATATATATATATATATATATATATATATATATATATATATATATATATATATATATTATGTTTATTTACATCTCTATTTCTCGTTGCTTGTTCACGACAGCGTTGCTGTTACTCGCGTGTATGTTTGTACAGCTGCCTGCGGGTGTTTGACGCCACTCAAACTTAGATATACGGCTGGTCGGTTCATGTGGTTAGAAGATAGCTTAACTAATTACAAACGCAATTAACACGGCAATCTGGTTTATCAATGCTGCCACTAAGGAAAGGAGAGTGCGTTTATAATCCAAATGTTTGTGTTAAGAGCGCCATGGAGGCGTGACCGAAATATTTGCGACATTTTTGTGAAATATTTGTGTCACAATTACGCTGGTGTGTGTTTTCTTATTTCATTCCCAAGGTATATCACACATGCTACTCTGGTATGCTACCTCTGAATTTTGATTTGATAGCTTTGTATAGGCTAAAAAAATCTTCGACCTATACAGAATTCAGCAAAGCAACTACAGAATCATTTTCAACATACGAGCAAAGTACGATATTACTGCTTTTATTTACGTCAGTACTTCATTATCTAAGAACAAAACTCCTGCAGAACTATAAGTGCTCGACGTAAAAATGTCAACCTGGGCAATATAAAGATAACATTCCATCGATCAGTACGTTGCATGATTGGAAAGTCTGAAACCCAATATTATAATTGCGGTCAAAATTCAGTTCACTTGGTAATACTCTGGTCACAATAGAGAATTCAGTGTCATTTAGAGCGGGTGAACTTACGTTCACAGAATGTCACTTTGATGGCACGCTTCTACAGAAGAAAAGGAAGCGTACCTTGGAATTCATGGTGATGCTGATGGGCACCTAAATAGCAAAAACTCTTTTTATTGCAGGCAATGTTCCCTAAATAATAATGCGTTACAGCTATAAGGCGGTTTCAAAAGAAACTTTACGTGAAAATTCAGTGTCTGCAGCCATTGCGCCACGCGGGATGAGCATGCCTCCGGGATCGTGGCTGTAAACAGCCTAAGACCAAGAATACTAGAGTAGGTTCAATAACACAAAAGAATTTTGTGCGGGGGCCTACCAAGACTTCAGTGGCGTACGTATTTCCTTCAGAGAAATGATGTCAAGAGATACGCACAATCAGAGGACAACAACAAAAAGGTTGTCAAGGGGAGTTAAATCCATCACCTCTGGATCCGCTACATACCATCACCGGCACACTATCCCCCGTGGCATGGTGCTGTGCTGTGTAGGCGTTAAAAATATGCCTTCTATATATACCTCTGTCCTCTCACAGAATGAGCGTGGGATTCACGATTAGTTCCTTCAACGCGTCGTTTCTAATCGTCCGTCACATTCGGCCTCTTTCAAATAGTAGAAGGTTCATTTCGTAAACGCCTACACACAGCGACAAGTGTGTTGAGGCGTTTAAGAAATATGGCCTTAAGGCTCCAATACACTTCAACGTGACCCGGCGTGCGAGGGCACCGGCGATCTATTCGTCCTGTCACGCCGGAAACGCCACGCGAGGCGCTGATCTGCCTACCATATACTCGCAGGCGTGTTCCGCGCTGGGTTACTTTGATGCTAGGCGTTTGAGCACGCCCGGCGTCCCTCCGTCACGAAGAGAAGCAGACGCAAAGCAGTATGGGTAACGTTACCGGCACTAAATGCGGCATGTCGCCTTTAGCACTGGTTGCCGCTGAGATGCGCCGATGGAGCCTGCTCGTGCTGGTCGCACGTGGCGTCAGACTACAGAGCGCTTGCGTTTTGCTTCCGCAGCGTCGCTGCGCCCAGCATGCGCGCGCGTCAACGTTACTTCGGAGTATATTGGGCCCTTTGCCCCAAGCGTCAGCATCATTCATAACGTTCAGCAATGCCAAAGCGATACATGGCAACAACTTTTCTTGGCACAGAAAGAAAAGCTACAGAACCAAATCACGTGAATCTTATCGCCAGTGATGGTAGTTCTAAAGTAGTGTCCGTATTTTTGAGCTGATATATGAATGTTACTCTTTTATTTTTTGCTTGGAGTTATTTGAGAATGGATGCAGCTAACACCTGTAAGATATTGATATATATTTTATTGTACCTGTTGTGAATTTGTGTTTTTCAACGCGTGAAAAATCCCCGCCTGTTTACGTGCACCTCAAACGCGAAGCGGTGTCTGCGCCTACATGAAACGCTGATAGTGCGCCTCCATCGCTTCCCACAGCGTTACTATACGCGCGTTGAAGCGGACTACATCTCGTAGTGCTACATGTGGAGAAGCTCTGCCTCCGTAGCATTCCATTCAGCGCGAAGAAAAGTTCTCGCCGTGTATAAATAGCTATCCCTATTGAAAATCCTTGGTTGGTGAATGCTGCAATCGCTGGCGAATATGGTGCAACTATTAGTGGATATTGTTGAAACTGTAGTGGGCATAATCACTGATAACGGCGAGAGGGGAAAAACTGATGGCAGATGGTGCTGGTGGTGGCGAGCTAATGGTGGCGACGGCGGAAAGTGCCGGCTGATGACGGCTAGGGGGAAAAAATGGTGGCAGATAGTGGTAATGGTGACGGTGGAAAATGCGGGCTGATGGTGGCGAAGCAAAACGTGTTTGGTGGAAGGCTTGATGAGCAAGGTGGATGACAATGTCATGATGGAAGCTTAGTAGATGATGGTGGCATGATGAAAAAGCATGTGACAGTATATGAAATCACCTATTTGTAGTGTTTCATTCTTGAATGTGCAGAGATATATGTTTGTGGTCAAAAGAAACCAACGCTGCTCATTACGCTTATTAGCATGATTATTTTTTTAATCCTGTGGTGTCAACAACGCTTCAACATTTGTGGAGCGTAGAATAAGTGGCCGTGAACATGTTTATATTTCGCGCACGTACTTACATAGGTTTGACATCTGCGACGTGTTTCTTTGTTGTGATGTTTAGAAGACTGGAAGTGTCACTGTCAACAGTGACAATAAATGTTTTACATTGGCGTGCAGTTGCCGAGAAATAAATAAGCTCCAGTTCACAATTGCCTTTTTCAATGTTAAAGCAGAACAAAGCGGTCACTTGATGTCATCATGCTAGAAACGTAACTCTGGCAAATCTAGCACACTCTATTGCTTGAGCCATACTCTTAAGTTGACAAAGTGTGTGCAAATATGCATAAACTTTCCCATTCGACAATCCTTAAGACGAACCTCAGCGAATTTGACTTTCACCCTTCTTTTCTACCACCATAATTTACACCAATGGTTAGTCCTAACGACCGAGCCCCTACAAGTCTTATCGGCGCTTCTGGGTTTCAGAATACATGAATTTGACATGTAACAATGACAATACAGCACAGATATTGATTCATTTATTCTAACTGAAGCATTTTTATTGTGTACGGTGTCCGCGCAAGAAGCGAAAAACATCGATGCTACGCGCATGAAGCACTTCCACGAAATGTACGCCTCCCCTCACCAACAGCCGCTGGTCACACTTGCCGGCACTTCAATGACTCTTATGTGAGAACACAGACTCGCCAATTCGTATGCTTATTGAACTGATATGATAGCATAACGTTTCTAGCGCACTGTAATCGTTTCGGCAGAGCCTTTCTGTAGTTGCTCCTAATGATAGAGCAACAGCGGTGCGCCGGCACGACTGCGCTCTGCGTTGCGCGAAAAAAACATCACAATCAATTGTGTGCGCGTATCAATCGAATGAGCATAGAAGCGTCGTAAATCTTGAACAGATATCCCTCTTTGGAAGGATGAAAAGGGGATACTAAACTTGGCAGTAACCGCCCATAAACTTTACCTGCTCCTCAGCCCACTGAGTTGTTGCATTTTTTTGCAGTTGTAATTTCTAACAAAAACATAGCGCTGTTACCATTATCGCAGGACATAGTTGCAAGCAGCAGATGTTTGTGTTTATCAAATCTGCAAATTTCAGGAGAAGGTGCAGATCCTGTCTATCCCGAGGAAGCAAACACAGAAGTGAAGTTAAACAGTCAGTCTGTGAGTTGACTATTTCTTTAACATCGTCGTGGCCATCTGCAGGCGTTGCGCAGTGGTTAGTGTGCACAGTTGGAAAACTGAAGGTGGCAGGTTCGAATCCACACTGTCGCAGCTTTTTTTACGGGTGCTTCTACATCATTTTTATACAAGTGGTTTGATTATTTCTTTAGTGGTCACTCCTCACGGCGGTTCTGACGCTGCTTCGCGTTCCAGCATTGCCGACTGGCAGGAGTGCAGCATCCACCATGTGCCACCAACATTTCCAGCACTAAAATGGTGGATAGTGAAATCCACCATTCCTACGGTGGATGCTTTTTTTTTTTCAATAAAGTATGCGTCGCCTGGCGGTAACTCCGCGTTCTCTACGTAGCCTCTCCCTGCGAAACGTCCTGGTCTGCCAAAGGGAAGACACGACGCGCGTTGCGTTGCCCTTTGGTCGGGCTCTGCCGTTCAATTACACCCACATGGCGTGGCTAGGCGTCATTAGCCTAAGTTCGGCATGCTATCAGTAGCGCTCTTCTGGTCGCCACGCCGCTTTCTATGCTTCCACTTTGACCGTTCGATACTACAGCTACCGCTAGCATGTGCGACCACAAGGGTTAGTCGCCGGGATGGAGATGTCTGAGTAAGTGCTAAAATCTATGCATGCACGTTGACAAACATTGTGAAAACTCCCCTATATCAGTGTACAGTTATCATTAACTTACTGCCGTAAAGGCACGTTGTATGTTCGTGCTTTACCGACTCCTATAAGGAGTCAACCGTGTTTTCTTCGCATTTTTTCATGCATAAACTCTTTATAGTGAGCACTATACCTAAAACTAAAGAATTATGCACCACCTCTCTGAAAGAAACCCCGATTTGAAGCGAACCAGCAGTGGTACGCATGGCGTTGACCCGGTTGAAACGGGAGTCGACGCTTGGGCTGGAAGAACGGTTTAAACCGAAGCTCGGTGTACTCTTTATTGGCGATCTTTGGCATGAGTTGCCCTTGCGCCACAAAAATCTATCATCATCGGTGTACTCTTTACTCGAGTAAGCGTTTCTTCGAGGCGCAAAGACACAGCAGGTGGGTTGGGTTTTGGGCGAGTTTCGTCGCAGATAAATGAGCCGAAAGAAAGTTTGCACTCGACATGTGGTTGAGAGCTGCGCGTAGTGCAGTGGGTGAAGCGAAAGGGAAGTTTGTTGCGAGCGGGTGTAGGAGACAGATTATTGTAAGAGAAAGAGATAAAAAGGACGCTGTTTTCTGCCTGCCGTCGCGCAGACACGGCTCAGTGCCAGGGCGGAGGAGCCAGCAGCTGAGGGTGCTGCGGCGAGCGTGCTGCGGGTTAGGAAGAGAATCAGCGTAAACCTACAATTCAAGGGAGCAAGCGGAGCTTGACCGCGACGCGCCGCAGTGGCGTTACCTACTTGGCACAACTCCCACACATACGGTGAAGAGAACGCGCTGCAGCGCTTTCGTATGGACGAACGTACTCACAATCTCCTATCCAATGAACGTGGCTTCGGATAACTTGTTTGTTCTGGAATGCCTTCTACCAAGGCTAGACACCTCATCGTTTGAAGTAAGCTTCGCGAATGCGCCGGCCGGCAAGTGCGCTTTTTGCGATTTCCTCCAAACAATGCCTTTCAGCAGCGTGGCAACGACTAGCAGTGAAGTGCCCTCGCTTAATGTGCAAATATGTTGGCCTGTATGACGGAGTATAAAAGGGCACTCGCTTGTGAAAAACAAGCGAAAAGAAAACTGAGTAACCGTATTCGAAAATATGACAGATCAAAGTGACACATCACATGTTGGAAATTCAGCCAGGGTAACTCACCTGAACGTGGATTACGAAGACTTCGTTCGAAGGCAAATGTCGGATTAACTGCAAGCCCGTATGCGTATTCTTTTTATATGCTGCGAAAAGAAACTGCCACGTACTGTTTGCGCAGCTACAGAAATTGCGATAGCATGCATTCTGACAGGCCATATTCCAAGCAGACTGATCTTGATTCAGTTTTGACGTACGAGATGATAGCGCCATCCACAGTAATGTATAGAGGAGATAAAAAATCTAATTACTGTGCTTCTCAACAATTTCCGTTTGAAGGTATTTGTGAATGCAGTTTGCCAGCCTGCGATTTCAAGCTCGTATCTATCCAACACACATTCTTTAAATACCGTGTTTGCTCGAGTGTAAGGCCAGTTTTTTTTCTTGATTATGGATAGTTCGAGCATACTCTAGTGTTACAGCCGAATACCGAAATACTATTTTTTGTGTTCGTGCTATAATTGACTCAATGTGGTAGCACTGAACCACTAAGGCCTACAAGCGTACTGCACGGTGTATCAACACTAAAATAAGGACAAATTTTGCTCTGGGCAGTGCGACCATGACGAAAGTCTAGTAGAAATGGACGCAGGCAAGCGCTGTCCACAGCCAAACTGTGTTTAATAAACAACTCGCCAAGGTTTAGGTTTCGAATTATATAAGGAATTGTCGCTATCAATGTTATATTATATTGTACACGAGAACATGGTTCTGATATATGTTGCCAGCTAAATAAGGTCACCGGGGAAGCTTCATAACCTCAGAAGATCCCATTCTTCTACTGATGTTACTATTCTGCTTGAATCGCTTGATCGTTTAACAAAAATAACGTGCTATAGGTATGTATCCTTGAGAAAATAATTGGCATATCAGTACTGAGAAGATAGCGGTAAATCAATAACTCTAGGCTTTCTGATGAAGTGGCCCAACTAGGAAAGCAACTGCAGGCCTGCGCAGAAGACGTATAGCAGTTACCATGCAAGCTGACGAAGCGGCAATCAAAGAACCTGCTTGAAGCAATCTTACGGCTACGGCAAATTCATTTGCAGGACGTCCACTACGCAATACATTATCCCGTTGAATGAAGCAGCGCAGGACTCACTACGAGGGCTTAGAAGAAGAAGAAGGAGAAGTGCCTGGAAAGTTTGTTGCGAACAATGTTCTGTATCAGGAGCCGCACTTACCAACTTTGTCTTGTCGATTTCGTATCCTGACGGTTCATACATACCGAAAATGTTCTCACTATTCAATAGGACGACCAGAATATGCATTCATCAACGACACAGACACTTTTTTCTTGTTCATCGGCCACGTTTTTATACACCAAATATTGTTATTGTTCAGAAGCGCCTAGGCAGATAAAACGTCCAAATTAGAGATGTGCAGGCAGCAAACGTGCCAATCCAAAACTTCGTCATAAAATATGATAATATTTTCCCCAATAGGCCTAAATTTCAATCTCACTGGGTCCAAAATAGCCGCGTGCAAGATTATCTTGTAGACGTGGAAACAAATAGTGTGAAAGGTACTGATGCTTCTGTAATAGACGAAAAGGCAGGAGTAGGTATTTACACTCCTTCACTTGACTGCTCGTTTTCAGTAATACTACCAGTCTTCACACCAATTGTTACAGCTGTAATTTTGGCAATTCTTCTAGCACTACAAAAGCTAATATTGAATACCCATACTGCTATAACACTTACAGACTCCCTGTCTGTATACACGTCGCACAGATTAACTTATACCAGATGCCTTTAAGACATTTCTTACTCTGATTCCTCCACAGATGAAGTTCTTAAAATTATTATGGGTACCTCGACATTGCTGACTAGAGTTAAAATAAATGGTGGACTCGTAAGCTCCAGCGTCATTCAATGGGTCAATACTTTCTTTTCTTTTAGTACTGGCCAGTATAACGGCGATGAAATATCGAAAATTTTCAGTCGGGGCTGATGCCTTAGGATCAATAACACCATAGACTGAACATATACATTTGAAATATCAATGGAAAACATGCGGGTGTCATACTCGACAACTGGAATTGATATTAACTAGACTACAGTGTCGTATTCCCCCTAAAAATTTATATTCGCACAGGGCTGGTCTTGGGATATCTCGCCTCGGCAGCTTTTGTTCAGCTATGGAGTCAATACAACTATATTTTTTGCCATATCACCATTACAAACTGTTAGGAAAACGTTTTCTTGCCATCCCATTCACTAACATTGGGCTGCCCTTCAAACTTGAGAATATACTCTCCTTCGGTGCTTCAGTTCTGGGTTACAGCCATGGCAACGCCTTTAATGCCATTTGAAGTTGTGATCATAAAACAAAATGAATTAACCTTTTAATACCTATTTGTATATTTGTTATAAAATATAATAAAGCAAATTCAAACATCCATTTTAAGCGTGTTTAAAATTGCTGCAATTACAATTCAAGAAATTCACTGTTCCTCTCTTGTCAGGATGACAAACACAATTATTGCACTTTTTCTGTGTTTATGTTTGCTTTATCTTCCTTTTGTTAGAATTTTGAATCACTTGAAAGGGCTTAAATTTCCTATCCTCAATTCTTGGCTGATTCTCCTCAATAGTCAGTAGTCATTGTGAAAGCAATTTCATCATCATCACACACATACGCTATAAAATTGGTCGAGAACTAAGTTGTTCTGACGAAAACTTTTATTTTCGTTGCTCACAACTTTTTAAAAACTAATGAAAGTGGCGTCGTAGGCGTCTTAGAAGAGCTGCTGCGGATAATGGTGATCAGAATGATGAATACTTGCGCCCCAGCCAATTTGAAATGGATTGAAGATTAAAACCATTCACTTGTTGCCAACTCCTGATGTTGTGATGTCAGGCACGACTAGGCTCTTCTGTCATGCAGTATTACACCATTAACGTGCTCCATCATTATGAATGACTTGTACAAAGTCTTGATAAAAAAACGGGCAGATACCGCGTACAGTGGGAATTAATGATATGCGAAACATGAATTAGGAAAGTTGGTATGTGAACCTAATACCACCGCAACCGTACAAAGTTCATGTAAATTATGCTGTACACGACTTCAGTGTCATGATTACCATTTTTGGATTTGTCGTTTACCTTCTTCACCTATTGACGTCAGGTGATGCCAAATTTACTATAGGTGAACTTAGTGAAACCGCCGCGAGCACTCTATGAACGTGGTATGTTGTGATTTTTTACATGACATGCGTGCCATAATTATCTGCACCATGATTATATGTCTGCACCAGTCATATACACTCGTTATTCATTAACGTCACGTAACACAAAATTTTGTACAAGCTAGCGAAACAGCCGCAAATCATGAAGGGCCCAATATACTTCAATGTAGTGTGGACACGAGCGCACGCTGGGCGCAGCGACGCTATACCTTAGCAAAACGTGAGAACTTTATTGTCTGACGCCAAGCGTGACTGGCGCGACCAGCGTTCGTCGGCGCGGCCCGACGCCAACCTGTTCGAAATTTGACATGCTGCATTTCACACCCACTACGTTACCCAGACAGCATTGCGTCTGCCTCTTTTCGTGACGAAGGGATACCGGAGGCGCTGAAACGCGCATGCGTCGAAGCAATTCAGCGTGGCGTACACGTGCGAGTACATGGCAGGACCGGCGACAGGCGTGTCAACGGCCGAGTGACGCGACGAAACGAACGCCGAGGCGCACACGGGCCATGTCGTGTCGAAGTGTACTGGCGCCTTGACTGTGGCATGTATTCATGTTGTCACATGACACGCATCTCATAATTATCATGTTTGCAAAAGTCACATATATTCGTCTTCTGTTGATGTGGCATAATACCAAATTTGACATATGTGAAGCTATAGCAAAACGGCCACGATCGCATCGTGAGTGTGGCATGTAGACATGCTATTACATGACACGCATGTCGTGATTATCAGTTTTGGATGTGTCATTCACTTCTGTCGCTCATTCACGTACGGTAATCCCAAATTTCGTATATGTGACGCTAACGAAATGGCCACGAGTGCATCATAAGCGTAGCATATAGTCATGTTAATCATGTTTGCACCAGTCTCATACCTTCAGCATCCATTGATGTCCCGTTATGCCAAATTCGGTATAGGTGAAGCTAGCAAAATGGCCACCAGCGCATCATAAGCGCGGCATGTACTCATGTTGTTACATAACACGCATATCGTGATTATCATGTTTGCACCCGTCACATACCTTCGTCATCCATTCACGTACAGTATTACCAAATTTCGTATGTGTGACCCTAACGAAATGGCCGCGAGCGCATCAAGAGTGTGGCATGTAGTCATGTTGTTACACGACACGCATATCACGATTTTCATGTTGAGGTCCGTTGCTTTTGTTCGCCATGCGATCATGTCATGTCATACAAGTTTCGCAACATATCATGTAAACGAAACCACCGAAAGAGCAGCAAGACAATGTAATATAAATGATCTCACTTATGACATACATATAATGATTTTCTTGTTATGACTAGTTACATACGCTTCTCATACTGTCAGGTTATGTCATACCAAGTTTGGTGTCGATACCGTTATCCAAACAGCCAGGAGCGCTAAATGTCGTAGGCGGCTAGATAGAAAGATAGATAGATAGATAGATAGATAGATAGATATATAGATAGATAGATAGATAGATAGATAGATAGATAGATAGATAGATAGATAGATAGATAGATAGATAGATAGATAGATAGATAGATAGATAGATAGACAGACAGACAGATAGATAGATAGATAGATAGATAGATAGATAGATAGATAGATAGATAGATAGATAGATAGATAGATAGATAGATAGATAGATAGATAGATAGATAGATAGATAGATAGATAGATAGATAGATAGATAGATAGATAGATAGATAGATAGATAGATAGATAGATAGATAGATAGATAGATAGATAGATAGATAGATAGATAGATAGACAGACAGACAGACAGACAGACAGACAGACAGACAGACAGACAGACAGACAGACAGACAGACAGACAGACAGACAGACAGA